GCATCCATGTCCTTTCCCACACCAGGCCTGTATGTTCAGTGACCTTGACTGGCTCTGGTGGGTGGGGTGACCCACCCTGGGTGACAGCTGAGCAGCAGCTGTGCTGAGGTGGGACAGGAATCAGCCCAGAGCCTGCCTCCCTCATGGAGTTCGAAGGCTTGGGGAAGGAAGAGCATTTCTGGATGCAGATGGGCTTACTAGCCCATCCCTGCCAAGGCAAGGGGACCATCTCACAACAGCACTCCTCAAAGAGGTCACCAAGGGACCCATTTGCTCTGTCTCCTGGGTGCCTTGGAAGGCAGCCCCAGCCATCTGCAGGGAACTGGGCCTGTCTTGAAGGTCTTCCCCTGTCCACCACTTGGACTCGGCTGGCACAGACTGTTACCCCATCCTTGCTTCTCTAGGACAGCCTTGCCTGGCTCCTAGTCACAGTCTTTGTCTAAATCTAGTACCCTTGGCTCTTTCTCCTTTTTAGCTGTAGAAGCACTCATGTGTACACAGGTCACACAAAGCCTACTTCTATGTTAAAGAGTAACCACAGAGGGCTGTGTGATGCCACCTGATGGGCCAAGAGCCTGCCCCAGGGCACCCCACAGGGAGTGGGCCTGACTCCCACCTGCTGGCACCACCTTCCTGGCAAACTGCTGCCCTGGGCCAGCTCTCTGTTGTGCCTGGCCCTGGGCCCATGTTACTCACAGCCGTCCAGAGGAGCCCTGTTGAAAGATGGTGCTGGCATTGAAGAGCAAGGCCATGGCCCCATCTGACTGTCGTTTGCAACTGATGGTTCAGTAGATTAGATCTAGAAGGGAGAAAATGCCAGCTAGGCTCTGGGTGTGTTGTTGTTGTGGAGATGGTCCTCAAAACTGCTAGCCAGTGGTGTGGGCCTGATGCAGTCGGCAGTCAGCCAGGGTCATAGCGGTAAGCAGTGGCTTGTTGCAGACCCCAGGCAGGTGGCCCTGCACTGCTCCTGTTATCCCCCTCCTGTGTTCTTGCCTGCTGTGTCCCTCCCTCCCAGAGCAACTCTGCTGTTCTCAACAGTGCCTTTTTCCATTAGCATCTTGTGGGCTTTATCTCTAGGTGACCTCTTTGCCAAGACAGTGCCAGGCACAATGCAGGTCTTTTCACAGAACCCCGTGGCATTGTGCAGAGGTACCTGGTTACACAGGGGGGTCAGCTGAACCCTTGGGCCTCTTGGTGTTGTTTTCTATCCTGACGCAGCACAGTGGCAGCGTGAGGCCCACCTGGAAGTCTGAGGCCAGCTCGTGGCAGGTGGTGAAGAAAAGAGCCCTGGGTCATCAGAACTCTGAGAGCCTGGGAGTGCAACCAGGCGTGATCCAGAGGCTTCTGGGGCAGTGAGAGTTGGCAAAGCCTGGAGGACACTTCCCTTGGGTACACCTGATGTGGGTCCACAAGATGCAGAGTACTCATGAGAAGAAACAACTTGGAAGGAGCCCAAAGGGACATTGCTGCTGGGTGGGAGTGAGCTAGGAGAGCCTGTCCAGTTTTCACTGCAGGGGTGCTCAGATACCGCCTCCGCACTAGGGTTTGCTCTCAGGGGTCTGCCTGTTTCGGTGTGGCCATGGGACCCTGCTGATGAGGCATACTGTACCCCAGATAATATGTGAATTGTAGAGGTGAAAGGAGGGCAGGGACAAGGGGAAAAAATGAGAACCAAGACCTGTCATGTAAGGGTACAGGATCCCAATAATCAATGTAACTGTACTGTATACCTAAAATGTACCAATAAACTCAATGAGGAAAAAAAATATGTGAGTTGTAAGCTCTGGGAGCCAGGGTTGGGGACAACACAGAACTGCTCTTGGGCAGTTGTGCGCGTCTCAGAGAACACTGCAAGGTACTTAAGGGTCGATTGGGCTGGGCAGGGAGAACTGTGGGCTTGGCTGAGGCTGTCAAGGCTGTGAAGGATGGAGGCTTTGGCTTGGAATCTAGGAATGGCAGAGACACAGTGTTGACAGACCAGGAGAACTGAGAGACTGGCAGCCTCAGCCTCTGCACGGCTTTCTGTCCCGCCCAAGAGCACACTCTGGCTCTAAGCCCAGCCTGACCTGTGCTGTGATTGTCACCTGGGGTGGGCTGTCCTGCTTCAGACCTTCCTGCCCTGCAGGGTGCAGCCTTGGACTTGGTGACCAGTGGGGAGGCCCTGTGTGGTTCTGGGAGTGAAGGGTACCCACCTGGCCAGAGGGATAGGCTGAGCCACTGAGCTGTAGTGGGAACCAGCAGCCTTGCCAGGGGAAGGGCCCCCAGACTGAGTCTACCAAGTCATAGCTACTTTTCTCCCTTCATGATTGCTTTGCTATAGTGCAGTTAGAAATTTTATTGGTGCTGTTCGGTAATAACATTTAGGAGAGCTGAAAAGCAGTCATGTAAAAACACTGTAGAGAAATCTAATGGCAGTGTGTGCCCATGTAGTACTCCACCTGGGAGGGATAAGTCCAGGGCCTGGCCATTGCCAGGCATCGCAGTGGGCTATGGCCTGTAGCAGGGCCTCTTGAGTGAGAACTGGGTACTGACCCTAGTGTGTGATACAAGCAGACCCAGGAGTTCCAGGCCCTGTAGGGGCTCTCACAAGCCTGGCTTTGCTCTCTCTGGACTTTCCTGGCTCTGGGCCTCCTTGCAGCCACCTCTTGAGGTGGGTGGGGCCTGAGGACGCAGACTTCAGATTGTCGTTGAGGTTGGTCTGTGCTTTGGTCGAGCACTCACAGCTGACGTCCTGGGCCTGTGTATGGGCTGGATGGATGGTGTCTGTGGAGCCCTTGGCAGAGTTCCTGATGCACACTGGCACTGGTAGTGAGCACAGAGCTTACAGTTTGCTCTAGGCTTCCACCTGGAGGCTCTAGTTCACTCTGTAGTCAGTCCCTCACTCTGTGGGGAGCCCAGTATAGCCCAGGGGAGTGACAGGGGAGGTCACCGATGGCCCCACTGCTACTGCTGGGCCTGGCTGGAGAGGGGCTGTCTGCAGCTCCTCGAACCTGCCTTCCTGGTGGCCAGGTGGCTAGGTGGCTGCAATGGATACAGTCAGGGTTCCTGGAGGGCTGTGCATAGTTGCTACAGGGCCTCAGGGGGTACCAGGTAAGTTGCTCAGAACTGGAACCAGGGACAGACTCAAGGTCCAGGAAGCCTGACGACAGGGACCTGGGCAGCTGCTCTCTTCCATGCAGGTCAGGGGGTGGACAGAAGCCATTCTGCAGGAGGGCGTGGGGCAGGGAATGGGCAGAGTGGTGGTAGCAATCTCTGTTCATTTCTTTAAAAGCAGTGAAGTGCCAAAACAAGTTTACAGAAATTGTGATAAATTAAAACCATGCACTGTTGGCACAGGTATCTTTTCAGTCACATGTGGACAGTGGTGAAGGGGAGCTGAGCAGGCCCTGGGAAAGACTTGCCTGTTCCCTCCGTCTGCACATGAGGAAGACCAGCTGGCCCAGCCAGGGTCTGTAGGGCCAGCCTTGCGGGACCTGGTTCATGAATGTTGACCTCTGAATTTATGCACACTTGGTCACGCACCTTACAAGCAGCTGTGTTCGCAGTGGCAACATACGACACCCTTGTGCAGAGCTGGTCGCCACCACAAGTCAGCCCCACTGGGCCAGGTGGAAAAGGCCGCTAGCACTGAGGCCCTATGGCCGCATGTTAGATCAGGGATAGCAGATCATGTAGCAAGGCCTGCTGGAGGGCAGGGACCTCTTCTCTGGCCAAAGCTCAGAGTCCAGGGACAATAGGTCCTGCTCCACAGTGTGACCACAGTGCTGCTGATTTCTCGAATACTCACACTCTGTCTGGGTGGGGACAGCACACAGTATATGGGCAGGTGAGGTAGGATCTGCAGAGTACCCGTGGGAGGACAGGCAGGTCAGGAAACTCACCTCCTTACTACCCTGAGGCTAGCTGCTTGCTGAGGGGAGGCTGGCTGGCCCTGCCTTTCCCTCCTCAGGCTCCCCACTGGCTGCTGCCCTCTGGGGAGTCTGAACTATGTCCCATTTATTCCTCCTGCAATGGTCACTGGTTCCTGGAGCCACTCTGCTGTGTTTTTCATTCTCTCATTGTCTTTGGGGTTTTGTTTGTTTGTTTGTTTGTTTGTTTTTTCTACACTGAGCTGTATCTCCACCCCACTTTTTAAAATTTTGAGACAGGATTCCCCAAAGTTGTCCAGATTGCTGTCAAACTTGTGATCCTTCTGCCTCAGCCTCCCATAGCGCTGGGTGTGTGCCACCACACCTGGCCCACTGCTGGGGACTGAATGCAGAAGTAGGGGACCCCAGAGCCGGGAACTGACAGTACCCACAAGCAGGGCAGAGAGCTTGGATGTTTCATGAGCTCAGATGAGCTGGTACCCTAGAGGTCTTATGGTGGGCTGCTGATGAGGTGCCCCAGAAAAGGCCAGCAAGATCACAGGTGGCCCACAGGTGACTTCGGTCTGATAGCCCCAAGTGTTATCACAGCAAGGGTCTCCCTCCCTTCCCGGCACTTCCTCTGGGGTGTGAGGTGTCACTAGGGGATTACTTTCTGCTAATGTGAAGGTCATGGGGGGGTGTTTCTGTGTTACTTTTGTGTATGTGTATCACCTGGGTAGGCTATTGCAGTCCCTGCCTCTGGGTCATGATGTGGTATTGAAAGGAGTCCTGGTCCTGCAGGGATTCAAGGGACAGCCCAGAAAGCTTCATGCCTCCTTTCTGCTGCAGCTTGTGTGAGCCTCTACGCTAGGCTAAGGTTCAGCCCATGCCATGTTCCTGGGACCCCAGGAACTGGCTCATCACCACTCTCCAGTGAGGATGGCCCTGCCCTCACCAGCCTACTTCCCTGCCCATGCCCCCTGAGATGGGGCCTTCCCAGGACAAAGGCTCTTTCCTCTAGGGTGTGAGCCTGCTCAGGGGGCACCACCTCCAGGTAGGCAGTGTCTTCAATCAAGGGCCAGCCCTCTCATGAAGAGCGTCTTCCATTGGGTATCTCCACCTATTGATAGCTTTTCACTTCTCTCCCTGCAGAAGGACATGGCCCTGAAGCCACATGAGCGGAAAGAGAAATGGGAACGTCGTCTCAAGAAGCCCCGGGAGTCGGAAAACTGCCCATCCTCAGAACCCAGTGTGAGCAGGCAGCCCCTGGAAGCTGGTAGCCCTGGGCAGGACTTGGAGTCTGCCTGTGACGGAGGGGCCAGGAAGGTCCCACTACAGCCTTCCAAGCAGGTGAGCAGTAGGGTCTGCCCTGGGCCTACACCAGCACCTGGACACCACCCACAGCACCCAGGCCTGCTGGCAACGTGCTCCATCGTTGCTGGGCGCAGGGTATGGGGCACATGTGATGGGTTCAGGCAGACAGGCAGGCTAGGCTGCTTCACAGAGGTGCAGACCTGTCCAGGGCCTCAGGATTACAGGGCTGAGGCGGGGGAGTGCGGGGTGGCAGTGCCAAGCTGATAGGCTGGCCCCGTTTCCCGCTGCTGCGTCTGTCAGGCTCCGCCGACCCTGGTGTCCAGTGTGTCTGTGATGAGTTGGGGACCAGGCACACCACTGCGCGCTCACTTGCTGTGCACACAGACTGGCGTGGGGTGGGGAGTGCCAGCCATAGCACTGTGGTTGGTGGTGCAGATGCAGGGAAGGACCAGGAAACAGGGATGCCTGCCCCACAGCCTTTCTGCCTAAATGGGGTCAAGGCCAAGATCAGGAGGCACTATTAAGAGTAGGTGGAAGCTGGGCCAGGGCAGCCCGAGTGTGGGTCTGTCCTGGCTCACAGCTCAGCCGCACTTGCATTCCTCCTGGGGACCTGGGTCTGCGCCTTCTTTCAGAGGGCCTCCTCAGCATTCCAGGTTCCCCTATGAGATTGTTGGGAATTGGGCTCTGGCGGGAGCAGCATGTCTCCGGGGCCCAGGCTGGAGGGGGGTCTGCAGGCCCCTGCCCAGGTGGACACGTGCTCTTTCTTCCATGCAGGTGTGCTCCCCAGAAGGGGGGCCGCTCCCAGTCAACCCCTGGCACCAGAACGGCCCGGCCCAGCACCAGCAGCAGCACCAGCCCAGCCAGCCCAGCCAGCCCCAGGGGCCCC